GAGCCGTTAAGTCTTATTTATTCAAACACATGTTGGGAGCCCAGTGTAGTGGCTCACACCTATAATCCTAGCACTTTGGGAGGCTGAGGTGGGTGGACAGCCTGAGCAAAGTGAGACCCTGTCTCTACTAAAAACAGAAAAAACTACCTGGTGTCCTAGCAGGTGCCTGTAGTCCCAGCTACTGGAGAGGCTGAGGTTAAGAGGATCACTTGAGCCCAAGAGTTTCAGGTTGCTATGAGCTATGATGCCGCAGCCTTCAACCCAGAGTGATAGAGTGAGACTCTGTCTCAAAAAAAAAAAAAAAAAAAAGACAAATACGTATTGGGCACTTGGTTCACCAGCCACGGGACAGGCCCCTGGAATACCATGGCAAATGCTGCAGTTACTGTCGCTGCCTGCAGGGGCCCTAAGTTACCAGACCCCTTCTTTCTTAGTGCATCTATGAGAATGGGGTGAATCTCAGTGGCACAGTGATAGCCATCCCGAGGGTCCTGGAGCTGTGCCTCAAAGGAACATTGCATATGGATCTGTCTGAAAGCCAGGCTCCCTCTTGGTGCATGTGACACAAGTCAAGATGAGCTGTATTCCTGAGTTCCCCTCATAGTGTTGCCTATGTTCTCTCCCACCTCTGCTGCGGAATTTTGGTCCTGCCATGGGCCCCAGGATGGAGTCCTATGGCTCATGACCTCTGGCCTCTGCTCTTTGACAACTTCAGGCCTAAGGTCGAATGCCAAGTGAGCTGGTTGCTGCAGGCCTAAGTGTCAAGTCAATGGACTATGAGATGTTTGGGTTCTGTTAGGACCCTCAGTCGGTGACTGTTTTGCTCACCTGTGGTAGTTGTGGCTGGCTGCGCTCTGCTCTCTGAGCTTTGCCTGACCCATAGCTGGTGCTCAGGGAACACTTGGCTGCTGAGTAGGTGGATGAGAGGCCTGGCCACACTGCCTGAGCACTAGACCTTTCACCTCCAGGTAGTCTGGTCCAGAAACAAAGGCAGCTGTTAAGTTCCTGCTCTGGACCTGCTTCTGTCTGTCCTCTTGGTTTTATGTGCATTGCCTCCTAGGGGCCTTATAGCTTTCCTATAAACAGGGTATTGTCTCCATTTGGCAGTTAAAAAAAAAAAA